GTTTGGGATCCTTTACCGAGACGCAGAGATCCCTTACCTGCAACAGATCCTCGGCACGTCGCCAACAGCGTGCCAAATTAATACTAATGAAACGCTACTTGTCCACATAGCTACTTGATATTATCACAAATGTTATACAGATAATTCCGTGAGACGTAAACCGTTGACCAAGCCTGAGGCTAAGACGGGACCTGGCCGCACCCAGGCCCCATAAAGAGTTTATTAGAAAGCAAAGGGGCCCAGTCTGAACCTCATGACTCAATGGGACGGTCCTTACTCTGCGCCTCTGGTCTCTGGGTGAACCATTCTAACCTGATTCTAACTCCATTTTCCCTTGCGTGTTGCTTCTGTGCAGTAATTAATAAGGTCAGCCTCGCCACCAAACTTAACGGCCCTTGCCAAACCGCTGTTAAACTGCGCTAACCTCCCTCCAACTTCTCAAACCCTGTCAAATTCTTATTCTACCTCGATAAAACCTATCACTGGTTCACTCTTTCAAGTGAGGTGCATCACCCATGACAAACGGGGAGGGGCGGGTGGGCGAGCACCCCGAAAAAGCACTGCCGTGGAGGGAAAGGGGGGACACACGCACACCCACCCGCCGGTCCCCGCTCACCCGGGCCCAGCCCCGCCGCCGTCATCTGGGTGGCCATGAGGCGGGAGAGGTGCTTGATCTGCGCCTCGGTGCCGGCCGACTCCACGGGTGTGTAGGTGGCCTGGAAGGATGCAGGCATGGCCTCGGGCAGGTACACCATGCTGATCAGCACCTGCAAAAAGGGGGGACACCGCCTTAGAGCCCCCCCAAAAGAGACGCATCCCCCCTCCCAGTGCCGCATCCCCAGCCCCTGACCAGGTTGGCGACGTTCTCCGGGGTGAGCAGCGGCTGCAGAAACTCGGCCGTGATGTCCGTGTCTGAGGGGACGCTGGCCTGGCCGGCAGCTTTGGGCGCTGCCACCGTTGTTGGCTCTAGGTCCTTGTCCTCATCATCCTCACCCAGGGGGGGCTCTGCCAGGATGGGGGTCAGTGTCCCCCGCAGGTCCCCAGGGGGGCCGATCGGCCACTGCCAGCAGTGGGGGGATGTGGGGGGGGTCTGTTGTGCCACCGATGGTCCCCAGGAGAGGATTGGGAGGACCCCAGGAGAGGACTGGGAGCTCCTGGGGGGTGATTCATACCACCACCCTTCCCCAGAAGAGGATTAGGAGGACCCCAGGAGAGGACTGGGAGGTTTTGGGGGATGTTTCATGCCACCACCCTTCCCCAGGAGGGACTGGGAGGACCCTGAGGGGCACTGGGAGGACCTCAGGGGTGTTTCACGCCACCACCCACCCCCAGTGTGACCAGGAAGGGACTGGGAGGGGCACTGGGAGGACCTGGGGTGTGTTTAATGGAACCACCGGTCCCCAGGAGGGACTGGGAGGACCCTGAGGGTGCACCATGCCACCACCACTTACGCATGTCCAGTGTGCTCAGGGGGGAACTGGGAGGACCCCAGGAGGGACTGGGAGGACCCGGAGGGCATTTAATGCCACCACCCGTCCCCAGGAGAAACCAGAAGACCCCGGGTGGCACCAGGATGACCTTAGGGGGGTGTAATGTTACCACCTTAGGGGGGGGTGTAAGGTCACCGCCTGTTCCAGGGGGACACTGGGAGGACCCTGAGGGGCACCAGGAGGACCTGAGCAGCATTTAATGCCACCACCTGCATGGTGCAAGGACTGGCAGGGCCCTGGGAGGACTCCAAGGGTGCCTAGTGTCACTGTGTGTCCCCAGCAAGGACTGGGAGGACACTGGGTGGCACTGGGAGGACCTTGGGAGGGTTTTAAGGCCACCACCTGTCCCCCATGTCCCCAGGAGGGCACCAGGAAAACCTGAGGGGCATTTAATGCCCCTGAGGGAGCTGGGAGGGCCCTGAGGGTGCGTAGTGCCACCGGGGAGGGGACAACGGTGACACCCTGGCTCTCACCAATCTTCATCTTCTTGAGGGCAGCATCGGGCTCGTCGCGGGGTCGTTTGCGGGTGTCGCGGGGGCTAGGCATGCTGCGGGCGATCTCGGCCTGTTGGGTGCCCAGGTCGACGAGGAGGGTGGTGATCTGGGGCTGGAAGTCCCCTGAGGACGGGTGCCGCAGGACGCTCAGGAGGTGCAGCTTCAGGTTCTTACGGACGCTGCTCACCTGCGACTTGGCCAGGGTAGGGGGCAGGTTGGCTGCAAAGGGATGGGGGGGACATGGCGTTAGGGACGCTTGGGGACACGGGACAGCCAGGTCCACGGGGACACCATGGTTTGGGTGGCGTTGGGGTCTGCTGCACCCAAGAGGGTGGGTGTGAGGCTGGGTCCTCGGTTGAGAGGGAAGGTGGGTGCTCCAGAAGCAGGACCGAGGACGCCTGGGTCCCTGCAGGGACCTTGGAGATCGAGGAGTCCCCAGGGCAGCAGGACGAGCCCGGGACACCCCCCGCCCCGTGAGCGCTGCGGGGACTGGACGGCGCCGGGGATGTTCCATTTCCACGGGTGACAGTGACACCGCGTTTACCGTGGAGGGTCTCGTAGGCTTGGATGACCTCAGCCATGAACATGGGGCGCTGGCGGGCGATGGTGGCCAGGGAACCCAGCGCGGCCGTCAGGTTGATGCTGGAGATGGCCGGGTGCACCATGAACTTGAGGAGCTGCTCCAGGGCAGCCTTGCCCTCCTCCCACAGCACGTCTGCAGGGACACAGGGGACGCTCAGCTGGGTGCCCCCCCTCTGGGAGGGGACCCCGCCGCCCCACGCCCGCC